AATGCGTTATGTTACTTTTGCGTTACTTTTTAAATATAAGCAGGACTTGATTGTTTTTAATATAAGAAGTTCTATTTATAGCAAATATAAAAGCCCTTTCACACCAAAAAGTGTAATGAATAAACCTCAGGCTGAAGCAAAAGTAAATTCACGTCTGTACAGTAGAACGCAGGAGAAGAAACACTCTTCAGCAATAAAAAAACGATGAAGCACAGTTGTTAGTTTCTCTAAAGTCATTTTTGCTTATTAGTATGGTTGAACTGGATTATCAAAGGTCAGCAGCAAAGACATTGGTTAATAAAATGGGATTAGGTACATTTGTGTTATTTAACATATTTAATTATTGCAGGTTTGCGTCATATTCTGAGTTTGCATTTCACTGTTTTAATTCATTTTGATGAATACTAAATCTGTTTTTTGTGAGTGGGATGAATTAATGCACATTCACGTTTAGTCTAGAACTACAGTAACATCATGTTCACACAGCGCACACAACTCCTCTGCACTTCCGATTTCTCCCAACATGGGGACAGGAGACTTGTCAGTCAATAAATGGGAAAACAAAGTAACTGGCGTTACTTTTTTGAAAAAGTAACTCAGGTATTTTCTTGTAAATTAAAAAAGTAATGCGTTACTTTACTAGTAAGTTACTTGAAAAAAGTAATCTGATTAGGTAACTCACGTTACTTGTAATGAGTTACCCCCAACACTGAAAATAAATATGAATATGCATTAATTCATCTCACTCACAAAAAAACATCAACAAAAAACACAGATTCAGTATTCCTCAAAATGAATAAAAATAATGCAACACAGAATATGACGCAAACCTGCACTAATTAAATGTTAAAAAACACATATTCTTTATGTATTTAATCCCATTCTATTAACCAATGTCTTTGTTTCTGACCTTCGATGATCCAGTTCTATGGGATCAGATTCCATACAGTTCAACCATAATAATCAGCAAAAATTACTCTAGACAAACATTTGTGTGTCTTTTTTTATTGCTGAAGCGTGTTGAAATTTCTTCTTCTGCATTCTACTGTACGGACGTAAATGTACTTTCCCTTCAGCCTGAGGCTTATTCATTTCACTTTTGGTGTGAAAAGGCTTTTATATTTGCCAAAAATATAACTTTTTTATTTTAAAAACAAACAAGCAAGCCCTGTCCAGATTTAAAAAGTAACGTAACGCATTACTTTCCATAAAAAGTAACTAAGTAACGTAATTAGTTACTTTTTTATGGAGTAACGAAATATTGTAATGCATTACTTTTAAAAGTAACTTTCCCCAACACTGCCTGTTAACACTTAGATTGTGCTTTTGTTTTTCTTTATTATCAATAATTTTGTGATTCTGGACAGTCTTGCTGCTTTACTAGTGTGGATTAACGATCTTAATTAATGAAGTTTATGTTGAAGCATTTATATATTAAATATTTTTGAAACCCGATATGTAAATGTATATGCACATTTATTTAATTAAAAATGCCTAAGAAATAAACTGGGGAGAAAAGCAGATTGAAGTAAAAGATTATTAAGGGTACAGCATTACTTAAGGATAATAGACTGTGATGTTTTTACACTGTTTAGGAATTAAATTTATGTAGTTAACTTACATTTATTAACTATTATTTAAATGTAGATTTTTTTTTTTTTTATATTCAATATGTCTGTATTTCTGTCTTGACTCTGCAGAATATGGTTGTAAACTCGTCCGGCTGAAGCAGAGCTCTGGACGTGTGGACAGACATTGACTGTAATGATGGACATCTGCTCAGGGACAGGTAATGTATCTCATGTGTGAATGTGTGTTCTAGTGCACTAAACATGTAGGTTACCATCATTTTCTTTTTGAAGGGCCTTCCCTTTGAAAAGCAAATGATGGTAACCTATGTAGGTGGGGAAGGGACGGGGGATGATAATTTTTATGCAGCTTTATTTTTTCAGTCTGTGCAAAACATGTATAACCTCTGCGGATCACGGTGCTGGAAGCTCCAGGGGGAGACTGTACTGATATCCCCCTTCTTCAGGCGCGCCTTCACACACACTCCACCATTCACTTATATCGCAGAGACCTGGCTGGGATCAAACCAGCAACCTCTGAACCCGTGAGGCAGCGCTCTTACCTGTGAGCCACAGGTCTCTTGTTGGAGTACATGAAGGAACTTTTATTTGACTGTGTACCTGTGATTTCCCAATACAGAAGTTACAGTAAAGTGTGTACGTGATTTTTGGAGGAGAGATTTGAACCCATGTCTCCATCACAAACTCATACTCAGAAAATGTGTGTTTATCCACTAAGCCATCATGGATTTCACATTGTGTTTTGGCGTTTGAGTGACTTTGTTGGATGAGATCGATTTAAAGTAAGCAATAGTGAGATTTGAACTCAGATCTCCCAGATTAAAACACAAAGTTTATCTCTTGAGCCACCGAGTCTGTGGAGATACAAAACATTTCGAACAGGCTTTTATTGAGAGATTTGTTCTAAATTATGAATAACAATTATGGGATTTGAACCAGAACTTTCACGTTTGAGATTGAAGCCTTCAACCACTGAGCCACAGAAGCTGTGAAGTTGCGCTGTTGTTGTTTTTACAGTCATTTAGATTTTAAGTTTATTTCAATGTAGGTTTAGGCTGAGTAATAGATGTTTAATGCATATGTGGGATTTGAACACATCTCTTTTGCAGCTTCACAAGTCAAAGTCTCATGTTTAGCCACTGCACCACTGTGCTTCAAATAAAACAGATGGTTTACTATCGTTTTATCTTCTTTGTAGTGTAAATCTCATTTTAAGTGATACAAGTTACTTTAAAACTTGCTAGATTTGACCCAGTACACCCAAAAAGTGAACTATAATCCACCGTACCACAGAGATTGTGTTGAATTCACTGTTGTTTTTGGTCTTTTACATTAGCAATTATTATGAGAAGTTCCAGCAGTGTAATTCACAAACATCACCACAGGAGGCTAAACCAGGTTAAGATTATTAAACTCGATTGTAATTCACAAACATCACCACAGGAGGCGAAACCATGTTAAGTTTATTATACTCGATTGTAATTCACAATAATCACCACAGGAGGCGAAACCAGGTTAAGATTATTATACTCGATTGTAATTCACAATAATCACCACAGCATGTCTAATGAGTCTACTCTAAACCGAGTCTAATGAACACCCTCCTGTGGTATTTTTTGTGCATTGCTATTTTAGATCATTGTGTGTGATTATGTTCTGTCCTTTTCTACTAAAATAAACTGATATGTAAAAAAAGTCAGAGGACCCAAAGCAGGCCCTCCTGTGGTGATTTTTGTGAATTACACCGCTGCAAATTGAGTCTAATAAACTTTTTAAAAGGAATTTGTTCTGTTCTCTCTGTTTATATACATAAAAAAATTAAATGACCAAGACTTTTACGTTCAAAGGTAAACAATTTCTTAAATGTAATCTTGGCACTATAACTAATAATAGCAGAATGACAGAAACTAAAGTGCAGTTTTGCATCCGCTCCACTAGGCGGCATAAGCGGGTTTCACCTTCAGTCTGACTCCTTCGGCTGCTTGACAACATGACGCTTGATGACAGTCACAACAACAACACGTGCAGATACTGCAGATGACAGCTGTTAATGTCAGTTTAACAACATGTTTTTCAGCTAATCTGCAAATAAAACCGACACACGGTCCGATGAAACGCTGGAATCGAGTGTGACGCGACTCACCTGTAAGTAACTTTCCGCATAAAGCGAATTTCTCTTGTTCAGTGACTTGCACGCGCTGTTTAGTAAATGAATCGGTAATTGCTGCGTTTCGTTTATAATCTCTGAACGAATCGCCCTGATATTGACATTGTAAAGTGTAGTAATGAGGAATCGCGCTGTTTGTCTCTGTTGATCCTGCAGCAGGTGTGTGAAGATCTGATGATTTTAGTTCTGACTGCCATAAAAAGAGCACAGCCATTAAAATGCTATTCTGATTGTTTTGAAAAATGCCGCAAAAAATTAAAAGCATGATGCAATAAATTAAATTTGATGTTAGAACAGTTTACAGTTAGTGATTGAACACTGCGATTGCTTTTAGATTGAATTGAACAGTAGATCGAATGAAACTGATTGATACAGCATTACAGAAGTATAATAGAGTCTGCAGTGTTTTATAAATATGCAACATTAACATATTTCTCTATTATTTTTATTACCTATTTTTAGACTTGACATGCAGTGTGTCTAATAATGTATTTCTGTCTTTACTCTCCAGAATAAGTGATGTCTTGTTGGTTGTAAACTCGTCCGGCTGAAGCAGAGCTCTGGACGTGTGGACAGACATTGACTGTAATGATGGACATCTGCTCAGGGACAGGTAATGTATCTCATGTGTGAATGTGTGTTCTAGTGCACTAAACATGTAGGTTACCATCATTTTCTTTTTGAAGGGCCTTCCCTTTGAAAAGCAAATGATGGTAACCTAAGTAGGTGGGGAAGGGACGGTGGATGAGAATTTTTATGCAGCTTTTTATTTTTTTTTTCAGTCTGTGCAAAAGTATAACCTCTGCGGGTCACGGTGCTGGAAGCTCCAGGAGGAGACCGTACTGATATCCCCCTTCTTCAGGCGCGCCTTCACACACACTCCACCATTCACTCATATCGCAGAGACCTGGCTGGGATCAAACCAGCAACCTCTGAACCTGTGAGGCAGCGCTCTTACCTGTGAGCCACAGGTCTCTTGTTGGCGTACATGAAGGAACTTTTATTTGACTGTGTACCTGTGATTTCCCAATACAGAAGTTAAAGTAAAGTGTGTACGTGATTTTTGAACCCATGTCTCCATCACAAACTCATACTAAGAAAACGTGTGTTTATCCACTAAGCCATCATGGATTGCACATTGTGTTTTAGCATTTGAGTGACTTTGTTGGCTGAGACCAGTTTAAAGTAAGCAATAGCGGGATTAGAACCAGGACTTTTATATGTGAGAGTGAAACCTTTAACCACTGAGCCACAGAGATTGTAGGTTTGTACTTGTTTTTATTTTTATAATTGCAGTTAGATAATGTGAGAAACACCTTAATAGCGACCATAACCAGATGCTAGTTGTCATATTTTTAAGTTTTTATTCTTTCTGCAATCTTTCTCTCCCTGTAGGAGGTTGAATGAGTTTCAATGAAGACTACCCATTGAAGGCAGCAATACAATACAATAAAGAGTTTCGCTGAATGCAACAGGTTGCCTTGTGTTTTTTTAAACATTATTTTAAACTTTTTTTATTGGGTTCAATTCCCTATTTGCTTGGCTTTTGTAATATTAACTTGTATGCTTATATGAATATCACAAAACAACACTGGGATGTTTATAATTAACCTTGTTAAATTTAACATTTTAAAAAATCTAAACTTATAAAAATCGAGTGTTTGTTAATGTCTAAATATACATTCAAACGCAAAACCTAAAAAAAACAAAAAAAAAAACAAGAAAGCAATTATGACCGGCAAAACTCTTGAGCAACTAGAGTAGAGCTAAATATTGGTAGGCAAGCATGTCAACATATTTTGTTACACCAAATACACAAAATAATGATCTTTAAAAAAGCATCATATGACCCCTTTAAACAGCCATGCGGGCATCTACTGGTTAAACCACGGCATTACATATGAATGTTATTTTTTTTGGCCACCAGATGCCTCTAATTTGCCTTTTTGCACTGGACGTTAAAAACCTTTTCTCCATTTTAACCCTAAATACTGTCATGATACACCGAGCAGACAACTCGGTGAACTCGGTCTTAACTTTATTAACATGCACGCTCATAGAACAAACTCTCGCTCTGCCATCAGCGGCAGCCTGCATGCACTGGCACCGCCCCCGCCCCCGTTGCCCAGCAACACTGGACCCCCCACACAGAACAGCCAATCACAATAAACTGTTTCAGTTATTAACTATTTCACCACAATACTACACGAATTGTAATATAAATAAGCGTATTAAGAGAATGTTATATTTTAAATGGTCATTCATGGATCGTAATTATTGCACCTATTTAGTACCAAAAATCTCCTCAAAATATTAACTAAATAGAACTGGACTAAAATATAGTACAATTATTGAATTGATTAAAAGTTACACTTAAGGAGTATGAGAACATATTAATGCTCTCTTTATCACTCCCCAGAATAAAATGCTATTGTAAAGTGTAGTCAGTCAGCGTAGTTATCAATGCACATAATTACTAGAAATTGCTGCATATTTAGTGAAACTACTGTCTGTCCCGATTAAATCCATTCAAACAGATTGACAGTGCGGAGTTGTTTGGAACTACTGAGAGCTCCATGAACCACGTGACCGCGTGGCGGCGAGATCAAAGCATGTCGCAACCACATTAAGAATTGTATTTTATTTTTTTAACAGTTAAAAAAAACATATCGTGAAATATTACAATTTAAAATAACTGTTTTCTATCGAATATATACATATATATTTTGTATTTCAAAGCACACCACTTTATTTTGAAACAGCATTTGCTACATCGTTTTTCTACACCAATCTGTACTGTAAATTAAAAAATGAAATAATTATTAAATGAATAGTCATACACATCATAATTGTATGATAAAGTTATTAAAGTATGAGTGATGTGAACTTGTGGTAAATGTTCTAAAACATTAAATGTTTCTGCAATAACAAAGAACCAAAGAAGCTTGAAACACAAACAGAACAAGTAATTTACAAGATGTATTAAGTGACACAAAGGCCTTTCCAGTAAACTTCCCAGTCATGTATTTCTAAATACAAATATAGATTTATATTTTACATTATGCAACAACATTCAGAAGTACTTCAAATAGTAAAAAAGAATTTTAAAAACTATACTTACAAAAAAAAAAAAACATTGCAAAAGGATTGCAATCAAAGACATACAGTCACATACTGTGTAGTATATTACAAACAATAATTCCCTAAAAAATAAACTTTCCATTTAGCTCTCAATAACAATAAAAAAATAAACATTCAACATTGTCATCAACAGAAAGCTGTCACACATTTCAGCTACAGCTATTATGTGTAAACATATTAAAGTAAACATAATATAAACAATAATTAAGCAACTTAGACACAGGTTAGCTGCTTAGTGTTTTCGTAAGCTTTTGATGAAAATATGGTTTTCTTAAGTGACTTGTCTCTATGTCACTACTGGATAATAGCTTGGCTCTGTGAGTCAAATGGTTTCTTAATGCACTCATATTTGACTTTAAGAGATCCTGAGGTTTCTGTGGTTTTTTCTTCTGTGGTCCACTCTCCTGTGGTGACCTGGGAGGACAAGTCTTCTTTGTTTTAGGTATAAAGGTGCTACTCCATTGGTTGTGAACTTTTTGTTTAGCAGAAATCACATCGGTATAGTCTTTGCAATCAGAGACTGTTAAGGTAGCAGGGGCAGTAAAATGCCGCTCTCGTGTATAGTACTGTTTTTCTGTTTTGGACCCATATAAATCAAATCTCACTTTTTTTGGTTCAGTTCTTTTCATTTTATTCACTGACAGAATACCATGCAGCTCCAGCTTCTTTTCTGATCCGTGGGGTGGTGTGTCACTTGATTGACCAGACACTTTCTCGGTCACTTTCTGTAGGTTTTCTCTATGTTTTGTTGAGGTTCTGTCATGATTATCGTGTCTTTCTTGCCGGTGTTCTTTACATTTTTTCACCTTACTGCATTTCTGACTCTCACCACTACAGCGTTTGTTTGCAGATACACGAGGTTGATTTTTCTTTTGTGGCCAGTTCATTTTAACTATAATATCTGGAGCGAAAAGCACAGAATCATCAGAACCAGTACTAGTGCTACCAGATTTTAGCTTATGCTTGGAAAATGCAGTTTTCTTTGAAAATGATTTTCTGCACTGCGAGAAAGATTGGGGCTTGGGTACTCTAATTTTCTCATTTTTTTCATTTTTCTGCTTATTTGGTTGAATCTTGGTTAGCTCCCATTCAGCTGACCCCTGATTTTCAGACATAGTCTCAGTCACCGATTTTACCATACTGTCAATTTTTTGTCTTGTCAGTCCTTTATCTGCAATGCAGTTCTCTGCTGAAGAAACAGTTGGCTCCTTGACTTCTAGTTCAAGAGATGGTGAGCAATGATTTTGTCTCATTTTTGATTTTGCCATACTGTCTCTTTTTGGTCCTTTATCTGCAATGCATTCCTCCGGAGAAGAAACATTTGGCATCTCGACTTCTAGTTCAAGAGATGGCAGACTACAATTTTGTCTCAGTTCTGATTGTATTATACGGTCACTTTTTTGTCCTTCATCTGCAATGCATTCCGTTGTTGAAGCAACTGTTGGCTCCTTGATTTCTAGTTCAAGAGATGGTGGACAACAGCTTTCTACCAGTTCTGATTTTACCATACGGTCTCTTTTTTGTCCCATCAGTCCTTCCTCTGCAATGCATGCCTCCAGTGGAGCAACATTTGGCTTCTTGACTTTCAGTTCAAGAGATGGCAGACTACAATTGTGTCCCTGTTCTGATTTTACCAAGAACACACTCTTTTGTCCTGCCAGTCCTTCATCCGCAATGCATTCATCATTTGGTGCAACAGTTAGCTCCTTGACTTCTATTTTAAGACATGGTGGACTACAATTTCCCCCCAGGTCTGATGTTAAAAGACAATAATTTTTTTGTCCTTTCAGTCCTTCATATGCAATGCATTCCTTTGTTGAAGCCACATTTGGCTCATTGACTTCCAACTTAAGACATGGCAGACGATCATTTTGACCCAGTTCATTTGATTTAGCAGCATAGCCCAGAAGATTGACCTCATCTGTCATTGGAGAGCATGGCTCCTCTTCTAGCTCAAACAATGGTGCCTGTTCCCAACACTGGAGGCAGAAAAGATCAGCATCACTGTCCATCTTTGTCACATTAGTGGAATTGGATTTCACAATTTGGGTACCACAGCGAGAGCAAGTATGTGCTTTGTTGTACTCCTGGTTAAGTTGACTGGGTGCATCAAAGCATGCTACAAGATCTGGGCTCTCCAATTTGGATTGGGATTTGGTTTTGATGGTACATTCAGGATCCTTTTCAATATGTTGGAAAAATGTTTTAGCATCTTCAGATGATAGCACCGTGATTCCCATAAACAAGGAATCATCGCTTGAATTTTCATCAGTAGATTCATTTTCCACCGCACATATGTCTGCGGAGTTACTAGGAATGTCCATATTGCCTGGATTCTCATTATCAGAGATGTTTTCCACTTGCCAGGTGTTTGAGGAATTAAGAAGAACATCCTTATTTCCAGAATTTTCATCATCAGAAATATCCTCTACAAGCCAGGTGTCTGAGGAGTTATTCAGAGCCTCTATATTGCCTGTATTTTCATCATCAGAAATATCTTCTACAAGCCAGGTGTCTGAGGAGTTATTCAGAGCCTCTTTACTGCCTGTATTTTCATCATCAGAAATATCTTCTAGCAGCCAGGTGTCTGAGGAGTTATTCAGAGCCTCTTTACTGCCTGTATTTTCATCATCAGAAATATCTTCTAGCAGCCAGGTGTCTGAGGAGTTATTCAGAGCCTCTTTACTGCCTGTATTTTCATCATCAGAAATATCTTCTACCTGCCATGTATCCATGGAGCTACAATGAGTCTCAGTAGAGAAAGACACAAGAGAGTTTTTTACACCATCTGAAACACTGTCTCCAGGACTCAGAGAAAGTGAATCTGATACATTATCACATGTTTGCTCGTGATCTTGTCTGAATACTTCTTTTGCATTGCTGAGCTCTGTAAGTCTCTCTGTAGACCTTTCAGCTAAAGGTGTGATGTCTGAAGGTTCTATGTTAAAAATTTGGTTTTGATTGATGTCCTCTTGCTTCTTGAATGTCTCCTTCTCACTTTCTTTTCTGAGCACAACATATGAATGCCCATTGTTTTCCGCAGCCACTTCCCCCCTGTCATTTCCTGCCATTTGCATGAAAAGATCTGTTGGACTGCACGTGTCTGGATTTACACTTTTCTCCTTGGGTGAAACCTCAGGCATGTCTGTGAGGGAATTCACACCTAAACTGGCTGAAGTGACAACAGTGTTATCTGAAAAGGACTGTGATGTTGCCTTGAACACAGTTAAGTCATCCAACAGTGCTTCTGAAAGCACCTTTTCAATATCAGCTGGCTGTCCATCAACATTTAACCAAGAAGATCTGAACTCCTCTGACCATGAATACGTCTCATGTTTGAGAATGTCGCAATGAGCTAGCTTCTTCAAGTTTTCAGTTTCGATGCTTTTAAATACCACAGAACCATAATCCTTTGCATATTCTATGGATAATTGCAGTGCCTCTCTAAATGATTTCAAAGGCTCCAACATATTGGAAGCTTTCCCATTCCAGTAGAGTTTTAAGATCCTTTCTAAAATACTCTGAGATTTCTCAGGATATCCGGCCGATAACTCTTTCATCTCTATAGACTTCACTAACTCCATCAGTTTCTCCAGTGTGTACTCAATCACTGGCACACTGGACAAGTCAAATGAAGGACCATCTGAATCACTGTCACTTTGCTGCACATAATTTTGACATTCAACTGGGCTAGCAGAGCATGTATCGGGGTCTGCCATGTTGCTTGCAGTTGCATTTTCAAGGCTTTTGTTGTCCTGTTGAGCCATTTGTGAGGAGGATTCAGACAGCTTGTCATTTACAGTTTTTTGTTCGTTAGATTCTTCAACAAGTGACCAAACAGAATCAATCTTTAACAGTGGACTGTCAGCTTTTTGGGGGCTGGTATCAGCCATTGGTGCAGCGTTTGAGATCTGCTGGTAAATAGGTGGAACGATGGCAATGGCCTTGTGAGTTTGCTGAGCAGCTTTCTGTAGTGCAAAGACCACTTCAAGACAGTCTGCTGCGTCCGTACTGTACTGTATGTTGTGTTGGCTCATTCCTTTAAGTCTGTTCTCATTGCTACTTGTCTGATGGGTACCAGGTTGGGCAGATAGCACCCCAAAATTACTTATGTCTTTGGACACTATTGTTTCTTTGTTCCGACAGTCTCTCTGAAACACAACATACTTCATTCTTTTACTGTGTGGTTCAACTGTACACTGTTCTCTTGGTTCAGAAAAAGGTTCCTTTGAGTGATTTTCAGTCCTTTTGGTTGCACAAACCTCCGACTGTTCTGGACGAGTGTTCTGATGAGTAATTCTTTCATCTGATTGCTGCTTATTTGCTTGTTCATTGTCATTTGAACACAGTAATCTATATATTATTGAGTCAGCATAAGCTGACAAGTTAAAATCAGTTCTAGATTTGGGCTGAAGCTGGGCTTCACTGGTCTTTGTCATTTGAGAAGTCTGATTAGTGTTATATGTCTCACTGCTTGTGCCCTGAGACTGATGTGCAGCATTTTGATTATTCTGAGACTGGGTCGCAGATACATTTGGACCTGCATTTGAACCCAGTTCTGACTGTTTCTGGTTAACAGGACTTTGGTTCACGTTATTGGAAGGTAATGAAACATTGCTCTGAGGTGGTGTCGTAGAGTTGCATGAGGTATGATTGGCCTCAGTTCTGCTCTGAACTTGATTGTTAGGATTTTTTTGGGAGACTCCACTGTTATGGGCCCGAGAAGAGTATTGTGTGTGGCGTCTTCGTTTTTTGCCTGTATATCGTCTAGAGAACTCTTGTTGTTGTTGGTGATGATGAAGAGGAGCCATTCTAGGAGGCTGAAGTTGTTGCTGATTGTTCATGGAACAAGAGCTGCCATTGTTGGAAATGTGGGAACTCCAACCCCTGCTGTTACCCACAGAGCTGCCATGGTACATTTGAGCTTGACTACAGCCTGTGTTTCTGTAGTTCTGTGGGGAGGAATCATGCCATTGCATGAACTGGGCATGATACCTATATGCGTTGGAGTTGTCAGATGGGTAGTGCTGCTGTGTGTTGGAGGCTGCAAATGGGTATTGGGGATTGATCTGGTTTGTCCGTTTCAACCAATTATATCCATCTGAATTTGGTTGAAAAGCAGAAGAGTCCGCACTGCCTGAGCAAGTGCTCCACTGATTTGCAGCCTCTTGTTGTCCATTGGAATATCTTGTCTGTAATGTGGTTTGAAGTTGGGGGATGAGCTGTACCTGGAACGCATTGGGTTGATCATTCCTGACAGCAAGGTACTTAGGTGTGAATTGTTCTTGGTACTGAGGTGGAGGCCATTCTTGGTACGGAGGAGGAAGTCGTTCTTGGTATTGAGGTGGAGGCTGATCTTGGTACCTTGTTGAAGGATGCTGATTTGAACTCCATGTGTATCCCTGCATGGTAATGGTTCCTCAGTGGCTGAGTTATGCAATAAGAGTTCTAAACAAAAAATACAGAAATTAGGTTATATAACACTTGAAAATCTAAGAAATAACTTTTAAGTCAAATCAAGTCACCTTTAATTCTATAGTGCTTTATACAATACAGATTGTGTCAAAACAGCTTCACAGTGATTAACAAAGGAAATAACAGAATCAATTAGGGGAAACAACTAAGGATGAAGTGTCCTAGCGTAATATGCAAAGATGTATATGAATATGGATGTCATTATTTTTGCATTATTTTTGTGTTATGTTTCCTTAGAATTTAACACATTCTGCACAAAGTACTAAATGTTCTTTCGCTGTCACAGTTTGCAAAAATAGAGTCTGCAGCCCTGAGATATGCGATATGCTTGTTTTACAAAAACCACAACAATCCATCAGATGCAGCATTGACAGGTCACGTCAACTCAGTCACAAGGTGCATGACATTGAAATTTACATGATGTAGGGGCGTACCCTTATTTTATCGGATTAGTGCAAGGGTATAAAGAGTGTTTAGTTCTCGTAAGTGTTACACTTTCTGCTCTGTATGCTCAAGGGACCCTTTTGTTCATTGCTTTGGTGGCAAGATACTATACTCAGACCTTATTCTAATCATTTTGTTTTTCAATTAATCTTATTGGTAATAAATTGTATTCACCTCCCCACTGTCAATAATTATCTTTGATTTATTAAAAGTTTGATTCACATTTTACTTAAATGTATTATTCATTTGTCATTCAGTTATTCATTTTTAAATAAAAGTTAGCTTTTTACCTTCATATCTTCATCTGACTGGATCTCAATGCATCACACTAAATTACACATTCCACCTTTAACAAACACATTTTAGTCAATGTATGCAATCTCAGTAGATGTTTATTTAATGAGATGTTGGACCTAAAATGAGTGTTCACTTCATTCATCTTTAAATTTCAATTCACATTTAAATGTGATCTATAATGGGTTTTTTTTCTAAGTCCTGGCTATAATGTCTCTGCAACCTTAAAAATATCACTAAAAATAAATGTCACTTAAAATGAATGACAGCCCTAGACTCATAAAAGAGCAAAAATTTTAATAGTACAAAGCAAAAATATTTAGTATAGTGTGTAACTTAGTGCCCCTTTCCATTGCAACTAGGCTTACTTACTACTTACACACAGCTGTTGCAACCAACCGACTGAATTATCAGATTGACCTCAAACACTGACAGCTGTTGTTCATAGGATCCCTGTATTCCTATTTATTCTGAGCTGTGACCAGTCATGACCTTAAATGCTGTCTAACTATAGTTCAGTGTTCATTTTTAGTGCAGTATGTGGCTTCTGTACTTATGTCATGTGGAAGTGAAAGCTCATAAAAGAAACCTATTTAATTCTGTGTTATATGCAGACTACAAGCATCCTCATCTCAACTGCATTTTAGCAATTATTGCAAAACAACCTCTTTTAACCAGTATTCCTTCATTTATTTGAATTAATAAATTAAGTACTTATTTTTAAATTACTAGTAGGTCTAAGTACATGGTGACAAGTACTGCCAAAGTAGCCTGTTAGTAGCACCAATATTTTAGGGGGCCTTGAGTATGATATTTTGTATCATGTGTCCAAAATAAGGTATTGTCTTTACCTGCAGTACAGAGCCACAATATTCACATTTGTTTAACTTTTTTAATCGATAACAGGATGTATTTGCAGGTTTGGTTTAAATTAACTGAAGGTGTCGCTTTTTCCTTTCTCTGTGTTAAAAATACCCCATTATACAGTAGCCTACTCCGGAGCGTGAATGAGTTGTCCGAATGATTCAAACTGAATTATCAGATTGACCAAAAGAACCGACTCAAACGAGCGAATCGTGTTTCGTTAGTTCTAAATAGTCGATTAAAAATACGGAACACAAGGCATTGTTACAATATTCTCATATTTCTCAGCTCATTTAACTTATCAGTAAAAATTTTACCGAGGTTCATTCATGCGACGGACAACGCAGCTTGCAGGAGCGCCGCTATAGCTTTTTGGGCCCCCATAAATCGCTCCGCTTCGGCAGAAATCGCGTTCCGACCGCCCCTGCCCTTACATCTAATAAACACATAACCTACTGCTTTGAATTAACTATTCACTATAGAATAACTTACTGGCTATTAAAATACGTGCTAGTAATATAAAACAGATACTAGTCAGTTAAAACTTCTTTTGCACCTTGCAAATGTAGTGTGTAGGCAATGCAAAAATGGATGAAGAAATGTGTGCAGCGCACTAAAAAACAACATAGACTATGAATTAAAAGACAGAAACATTTCCGGAAAAACAAACTACGCGTTTTGAGCATCCTCTCACATCTATCTCGAGCAAGTTTTCATTTTATTAACTCCGTATAGCCAAGTTCAGTAGCTACTCACAATTTACAGTGCATCTCCGCATCGACTCCGTGTCCACTTTAGATCTCCAAACGTATCCTGTTCAAAACAAAGATTTAATCCGCATGAGAATCCTGGAAACTCTTGGTTTTAACGCATCAAACATGCTAAACGCGCATCCATTTCCGTCGTCAAAGTTAGGTGAGAGCGGTTGAGACATTCTGAGGCTGCGATACAAGCCCATGCTGTGTAAATGCCAGAGCATGTCAGCATGACAAAAGAAGGGGCTGTCTTAAGACACATCCTCCGCCCACCACTTATCACCTACCAAAAAGTATTTTTAAACATCCATATGTGAGTAAGTTATTTTGTTTCTTGTTGTTTTAAATTATGTCAGCTTCTTTCAACATTTAGTTGAAAGAAGTTAATAAAGCAAATATACTCCCTGGAGAGAGATCGGTCATTATTCATTCACATTCACTTACACTGTAATTTTAATGCATGTTTACTTGCCCAATAACTGATATGCAGAACCATGTTTAAATATTGGCACAGTAATAATTAGCCTTATTGTTAAACTAAAGCAATATAAATATAATATGCTTTAGTATAGCAAGTAAATCTCCCCTCCCCTCCCTCTCATGGTAATATGTTCCAGATGCCACAATTTCAGTTTACTGATCCAGACACCAAGCCGAGATGCCTGCAGAACATAACAATCACACTTGCAACACTTGCAAAATACAGTACCAAAGATCTCATTGCAGGTGCTCCTCTGTTTTCTTTTTGGAATCTCTCCAATACTCCCACCACAGTTATTTCATTAATCTTGTGACATGTTTTCAATCGTGGCATGCATCCAATCAGTCCCCCCCCCTTGCAATAGGGAGACTGGTATACTCTAAGTGAATAGTGAACTAGCGTAACCTTACAATATCCTAGTTTTGCTTACAAAACTGGGATCTTATATGCATCATAATAAAAATGTACTATAGCATCATGAATATTTTAATACCACAACAATATTGTTATTTGAGAGAATTTAGTTTGCTCAGAATGGCTGTTAGCCATTTAGTTAGTGCTGTAGCTGTCCTCTGCATAACCAATAACCTGTGATGCATTAAAGCACAGGGGTGTGAAACCCACAACATCCTGCAGAGGTGGAAATAAGCATGCACTGGCATCATCACAGCCTAGAAACATCAGCTGACAATCTGACGACATTAACCACAAGGGTTATATCTAAAGCTGCACACCGTTGTTGTTCTTATTGTCATTGCAATAGCAACATGCATCACAAAGGATCCCAATATCCTCAATCAGTGAACAGCACAATCGTCTAAGTGTTTTAGAAGTTTTCTGGACAATTTCTATAACTATTATTGTGTAATTTTATTGAATATAAGCTGACAAACAGAGACTTTGGGGGGAGAATGATTTGGAATGCTGTGACTGTCTTCCCGGCTTTGTTTCTTTGTTAAATAAAGTCTTATTTTGACATCTGGAACTCTGCTCCTCCACTTCATTGGCCGCACCCAAGAAAAATCCACAACACTATCAGCCTCATAATGAATCATATGTCCCATTTGTTGTATCATATGTGCCAACATGAACCTTTACTCAAACATCTGATGATAGGAAACTACTGAGCTTGTTTGAATTTGCTTAAGATACAACAAGGGCTCTTTTGGCGCTTTTCCACTGCGTGGTATGACTCGGTCACACATTTACACACTAATAACGCATCAGCAGCTGGTTTTATCAGCCATAATGCTGCAAATGATATATTATTAAACAATTAATTCCATATAAAGTGCATTTTCATGTCCACATCATATATTATTATTTTTTTAAATCACAATTTAAATTTAAAATTAATTTCAATTTAAATGTAAAGAGATCTGCATACTAAAATTAGCATACCATGTGAAATATATATCTATAGTGTGATTTTGATGCATTTGGCTCATACTAAAGTTTTTATCATGCAACACTCTGCATGACAAACTAGTATGTGGTTTTCAGTTTTTAGATGTACAGTGATACATTTAGAAACAATGTCCTCCACAAATCTGCTCTCACTGTTTAGCATATAATCTACTGCTTTCTCTTCGGCACTATGCACCAATGAGATCAATTCAGATTTCCTGAGGAGCTCTTGTGATTTATTAAGAAACGAGAGTTTAGTTCCTAGCTCTTGTTCCTTTGACATGAATGCAATACATCTCCACTTATACTCACTGTTGTTGCTGTAGAAAGTCTTCACTGTTTTCCAAAAAATCTCTCAAGGCAAGAAGTTCCAGATGCCATATTTTCAGAGTTTATTCATCCAGACAGAAGAACATCCGAGAAGCCTGCAGAACATCTAACAATCACACTTGCAGCTCACACTTTTATACAGTTCTTGACCAAAGATTTCATTGCAGGTGCTCCTGTGCTCCTCCTCCTTTTTGGAATCTCCCCAATATTCCCATGCATCACAGTTATTTCATTAATCTTCTGGCCTGTTAATCATGGCATGCTTCCAATTAGATTAAGGAGTATGCAAGTATAATATCTCTAAACATTGAGTAAAAAGTGAACTTACATAACCTCATTCGTACCTGTACATTCGTTTAAACAATTACATGTTATTTATTATTATTATTACTAATACAGTTTTTTCTTATATTAGTGTTATATTCCACCTCTACTGTGCAATTCCTATGTATGTCTGCACTATGTCCATACTTTCTTCTGCACTGGAAGCTCCTGTCGCCAAGTCAAATTCCTTGTGTGTGTAAACATACTTGGTAATAAAGCTCTTTCTGACTTCTGTCTCTTCTCACAATGTCTTAAAATGTTGTGAATAATAATAAAAACGTACTATATTGTTTGCGCTGCAGTTGTCCCACCAGAAGCTCCTGGAGGATATCACACTATACAGTACTAGTTCAAACAATAGTTTGCACATAAACACAGTACATGGCAAAAAATACATAAATAAAAATAAAAATAAATGTCTACTCAAATCAAAGAAGTGAAATTAGCCTATTTCAAATTCCCTATATTGATGCAGACAATAGCCTAAATAAATTTTTTAGCCTACTATTAATAATATATGTAGTTAATAATAGATTTGATTAAAGAAATTTTAAATGGAAGTTTACAAAAATTAGCAAGCACAAAAATAGCAAAGAATTTGATACATTCTGATGTTTTACGATGTACATTGCACAGCTGCACTTTGTTGTTTCTGATGAGAGCAAAACACCGCGTTTCAGCGATGACTTATCTGAATGTCTCTGATTGACCATTGCATTCATAAACTCAACAGAATCGTGTGTGATTGGTTATAATGCGCAGCGCTGTCTGTCTCTGGCTCAGCGCCACCCAGCGAACGCAGATTTGAATTTAGCAGCTGATGCTGTGCCGCACTGAACGATCCAATCACACCGGTGCGATTGTATCAAATATAAAAAATATGATTCTGCTATTTTTGTCTTTTGGAAGCTGCATGCAAAATGCACTTGGCTCAGAAATCTGAGGGGGCACGTGCCTCCTCACTTTGAATGGGCATGACGCCTCTGATTCTGTCCATGCTTGTTTTACTTTTCCTGCAGGCATGTCCCATGGGTCTGGATGGGGGTTGGGAACTACATTCTTCAACAATTTGATGGTGATTGAAGTGACAACGAGGGGCAATTCGCACCAGGGGTGGCGCCCTTTTGCCTGCCAATTGCTCTTTAATATGTTTATGACTTGCAGGATCTGCATTATCACCAAATTGACGGGTATTTTACACGATGGATAGATCTGCGCGATTAGTCTTATTTGCGATGCAAACATCAAAAACATGCTGTTGTTTTTTTATATTTATTTTGACTCTAGAATAGCTCTTCTTTTGAGCTAGGAGTTTTCATCTTAAAAATAAATGTAAATTGCTAGCTACACTGTTCCTTCATTCAAGGTTACACTACATATTTGTTATTTTGCACGTGTTAAGGGATAACTGATTTGTTTTTATGCCTTCCTCTTTGTGTACCCTCTGGAGGGCAACATCCAGGATGACGGTGTTGCTTTTCTTTATATGCAAAGTATAAACAAGCTGCTCAATGAAGATTTGGGACCTGACTCTGTTCGTATAACAGTTCTTCCCGCAGCAGTGCAGACCATTGCTGAATGAGAGGGACTGAAATTGTGAGATTCTGTTTGACCCCACGAACATCCTGTGTCTAGGGACATTGTGTGCCTGTCTGGCCTGGATGTATTATAGACTAAAAACTTTACTCAATTATCATATGACATATTAATCTGATTGTTGCCAAAAGAGGTTATTATGCTTGTTCAGCTTGTATTTTCCAGACTGACTTTCACTTCTGCAAATACTATATATGCAGCACCATGTATAATAAAGTTGAGCTTAGAATGAACTGCACCATTTGCGTGTCTCATTCTTTGGTCCCGGGTACCCGCTCTCCTTTGCTCGGTAGCCCAACCAGAACCAGAACTTATATTTCGGATCTCGGCAAATAGAATACTTTTATTCTAACAGTTTGGGGGCTCGTCCGTAAAAGGAGTAAAAGGGCCTACTGGATACTCGATAGCAGCGACTGATGGTTCCCCCTGCTCTATTACTTCAGCATCAGGTAACACCTGACCAGTCAGCAAACAAGCCCCTACATCTTTTTTTAAGTAATGTTCTAGAAACAAATATCTCATAATGCTGAGCAATAACGAACAAATCATCCTTTCGACAGTTGTCCAATTTTTCAACACTTGGTTGCTTTATAAAGTCGTCCAAATCAAACGTTGCCATACCACTGCATTTACATAAGAACCAAACAAGCACACCCTGGACCTAACTTCATACCCACAACACCAACTACAACCTTCCTAGTCTTCAGAGGGTTACCAGTTAAGAGATAAACTTGTTCAGGTGTGTCTCATTAGGGTTGGAGCTGACCTCTGCAGGACTGCGGCTCTCTAGGACCGAACTTGCCTACCCCTGGTCTAGGGTAACACAATTCTTGGCCAAAGCGTTGTCCGTTAATTGGCACCTAAACATACCCTACCATCCACAATCTTCGTCAAATGTGGAAAGACTTAATCAAACCGTTAAAAGAAGGCTCACGAAAGCCTCTATAGATACGGGAAAGAAATGGGTAGATTTGCTACCTGCAGTATTGACGGAGATAAGAATGACTCCATCTTCCACCACTAAACTCTCACCATTTGAAATACTAATGGGCAGGCCTTTTCCAACCCCATGGGTTAAAGGCCCAGGCATTACTTCCTTAGGTGACCTGGAGGTGATACAGGAGGACTACGTAACTTCCCTCATTGAGAATGTTATATTACCTCACGTGTAAAGAATCAATAAACCCTATAAATCACATCTTTTCCCCACAAGCAGCAGCTGCAATAAAAGTCTTCACCCCAAATTGCGGCAAAAGCAAATCTGATACCACACTGGATTATATAGGAGAAGGTCAATCAGGTAGCGACTTCAACGAGGGGGTGCATAATCTGGCAGGGGGGCAGAATTCGGCACAACACCGGGAAATCAGGAGGACCTACGATAAAAGGGGGTAAGTGTTATGCACATTTCTTGAAGGAAATACAGCGCTTACCCCTGTAGGATCCTGGGGATTAATGGAAATTATCCCGTAAATCTGGTTAAGAGACGGGAGGGGCTATAAATCACTAGTCGCTAGTGAAATTAAGCTTTCCATTGTTACGAGTATACACACACACATCTCCAAAAATATATACGAGGAGGTTCAATCTAAGTTATATTTTCTAAACACTAACACAGGATGTCTGACCTTTTGGCCTAACCACAGCTAAACATTTTCCTATTACACAATAGCAACACCTTCCAAAAAAACATAAGCGAGTTTTCACACTTCAGCATTTTCCATTCGACAGTTGTTAACCAAGATAGCAACACCTGCCTTCGCTCTGACAGGATGTCATTTAACTGTTTATTTCTGTTTATTCTTGGAAAAATTTTATTCATATTTAATATTGATAATTTATTATCAATTGTTAGTGCATGTTGATATATTGTGACCCAGGAGAAGGTGTTTCAAAACGGCAGATGGCAAACCCATAGCACATTCAAACCTGATAGGACAGTTAACCAAGGCAGTACAGCTACCCTCCGAAGTGGCCATAGTAAAGGTAAAAGGTCACGCAACAGGAGATGAAGAACAGGCTGTAGGGAATAGAAAAGCTAATGAAGCTGCAAAAGAAGCAGCCAAAGCTCAGATCAAATCACCATTTGATATGGGTAACAAGAATCAGGTAATGGCTATGCATATAACTAATGTACCTGAAATTGACATTAAGATTTTGCAGAGTCAACCCACACAGGCTGATTTGGAATATTGGAGCAAACATAACTGTGCTCCAGACAAAGATGGAATCCTGAGAGATGAGAAGGAAAGAATAGCCCTTCCGAAGTTAGGACTAATAATCCTTATCAGGCATTACCACGGAATGTCACACACAAGCTGTGCAAAAGTAGTACAAGTAATTAATCAATTGTATTGTATCGCAGATGTACACAAAACAGCGAAGCTGATTCTAGATTCGTGTCTCACGTGTGCACAGGTAAATCCACACAGACCTATTAAACATGACGCACTACCGCATCCAGAAGCGCCATTTCAGCATGTGCAAATTATCTTTACGCACAAGCTGCCAATAGGTAATTTGAAATATCTTTAGGTAATTGTAGATAGATTTTCAAAGTGGCCAGAAGCATTTCCATGTGCGAAGGAAGATGCTAAAACGGTGGTAAAAATGTTAACAAAAGAAATAATTCCTCGCTTTGGAATACCTAACGTTACCACTATTGAAAGCGATAACGGAATAACATTTGCGTCTAGGGCAGGGGTAGGCAAGTTCGGTCCTAGAGAGCCGCAGTCTCCATTTTCAAATTAAAATCATTAACTTCAATAAATTGTTTAACCCTTTTCATTAACCGTTTATTCACACGTTCATGTTGACGAATTGTCCGAAGGAGATCCTTAGCCATGGAGATGAGTTCCCCTGTCTTCTGTCTTCTCCTTTTTCTTCTCTCCAACTTGCTTTTCTTTTTAATGACTCGGTGATGCCTCCGCTGGATTGATTCTAGAAGCAAATCATCAAAAGGGATTTCTAGTTCACTTTTCTGATTGTTTTCTAATATGTGGGGTTTGACCTGTAAATTGGGTATCTTTCCCTACAAGAAACTTAACTCCATATGTGCTGATGTTTGAATGTAGAGATGTGCTATATACAAATTATGCAAGGGAATGTGGCTAGATGTAAGATATGTTAAATCAATAAAATATGAATAATAAATATAAATATGGATACTTGGGTATTGCACATGATTCGTTCAGCAGTCCGGACTATCCTCTTTAGTCTTCTGAGGTAGCTGGTAGCTGAGCTGAACCAGACAGTTATTGAATTGCAGAGGACGGTATAGCAAGATTTAGATTAGTGACACAATGGATAAGTTCGTTTGACATTCATTCATCAGACATAAACATGTGGTGATCTGAAGATGTAAGTTCTCCTGCCTATATGTGACCCTGGACCACAAAACCTTAAGTTGAAAGTCTTAAGTCGCTGGGGTATATTTTTAGCAATAGCCAAAAAACCATTGTATGGGTCAAAATTATCGATTTTTCTTTTATGCCAAAAATCATTAGGATATTAAGTAAAGATCATGTTCCATGAAGATTTTGTAAATTTCCTACTGTAAATATATTAAAACTTAATTTTTGATTAGTAATACGCATTGCTAAGAACTTCATTTGGACAACTTTAAAGGCGATTTTCTCAGTATTTAGATTTTTTTGCACCCTCAGAATCCAGATCTTCAAATAGCTGTATCTCGGCCAAATATTGACCTATCCTAACAAACCACACATCAATGGAAAGCTTATTTTCCATTAAGAAAGCTTATTTATTCAGCTTTCAGATGATGTATAAATCTCAATTTCGAGAAATTGACCCTACTCACCTACTCAATTTATAATTTTTATTTAAATAAATTAAAATTTTATTGCAAGACTTTGTTTGCTTGGATCTCATCGCATCAGCCACTTAAATCAAAAAGTAAAATTCACACATCCTTCATTAAAAAAGCTGTAAGTGATTCATCAGTGTAACTCCTGCATGGAGAAAAAAAAGTGACAAAAACTGTTAAAGGGGTGTTAGTCATCTTTATTTTAGTGCAAGTTGGTCATAAAATTTGAGTGACAGGACACTGTTCTATCTGATCCAGGAACAGTGTTTGGAACATGTGGTCGTAAAACTTGGGATGATAACGACAGGCCCGCTCACAGTCTGGGCAAAAATTCACCTCCAGTATTTGAGGCTGTATCACACGTTCTCCTGAAAAAAAAAAGGATTGATCTATGTGATTTATGAAGTTTAACTGATGTTATTCCTTTGTCTTTTTTACTGGTAAGTATGTTATGGAAGTCAGTTGAATGAATATATCAGTGCCATCAGTGGCCCTTTTTTCATCAGTCCTTGGCCTTTTCTGCTTCTTCCACTTTTTTGTTTCCCTAGCCTTCTACCACACATCCTTACTTCTCTTCTTTGTCCTGGCTGTTGACCCCGTTTGTTTTCTTATTGTTCTTCCATTGTCAGAAATTGTAACACTGTGTTGTGCTCGGACTATATATGCTTGCCAAATTAAGCTTCATGAGATGCACCTCCAAGTTATTATAAAGAACTGGTTCATCATTGGTTGATCTAATGTTTTACATTTCCCTTCACAAGTGGAATTCAAGATTCACCTGCACAAGTCATCAACTCGGGACGTATTTACAAAAGAGTCTAATGGAAATGAATAGAAAACATGCTTGACAGCTAGTTCAACCATTTTGCATTTAATGACTTACACAAAGAACTGAAACCAGTATAATATATTTTGATCAACAAGACATAAGCAATTGACAATGTAGGAAACAGCAGATATTAGTACATAATCATCTGCATGAATGCACCAAAGCATTCTCAATTTGATCAAAAGAATAAGAAATTGCTTTTATGATGTGCACAAGTGACTGGATGATGAGGCTGTTAAACAAGTAGTTCTGAGAATTTCAGTTGTGTTTGAGAAATGTCCTAACAAAAACGGTAAAATATATAATATCCATTGTTATTCAAATGTTTGATATTTAATTTTTTTTTTTAAGTCTCTTATTCTCACCAAGGCTGTGCTAATTTAATTAAACGGTATTAAAAGTATTGTTTTCTGTATAATTAAACGTATACAATTGTGAGGGACATTTTTTAAATGTAATCATATTCAAATTAATCAAAATCAGTTGATCATAAATGATAACTAACATTTCACTTTTTTCTGAATAAAAGTATTAATCCCCCCCCCACCCCCC